ATTTTCCTATTAGACTGTAAACTCCACAAGGTTAAAGACTATGTACTTTTATGTTCAACAGTTACATCTAACACCTCGGAAGTTCCTGGCACAGAGCAGAAGTTCAATAAATACTTGCTGTATGATAGAAAGATGGCTGAAGCGATGCAAGGTGGGAGACCTATGTTTAGCTTAATATCCTCTAGTATTATTTGTGTGATTATGGGGGGGGGGGTTTAATGTACACTCTATTTAGGCAGTTTACGTACCCAGTAATTCACTGATCCATCCACTTAACCTAGAAACTGAGAAGATTTGAAACACATTTAAAACTAAAATAGATGAAAAATGAAAAAGATGGAAATTAGAATGGGAAACAAGATGTTTATATATGTATGCATGTAAAGACAAATCATAGGAAAGAAAGGAAGTTTGCTTTCTTAGTTTCTTTGGGTTAATTTTATTATAACCATTATTATAACGCTTTTATTATAACAAAATACTAAGAATATTTATTACTTTCTCATGTGGCAATGCACTACAGCCGCTATATAACCAGATTCCTTATATCATGAGCCAAAGAGTCTATTGGAGGACACAAATATTCAATGATAATAAAATGTAATAAATAAATAATAGTAATAACATAGGTTTTTGTGAGAGAATAAAGCAGGATTCTTCTCTTAACCAGAAAAAATGCTCACATGGTAATTGCTGTATTTTGATGCTACTACATCCAATTCCAAGAGACTTTTCTGGTACATGTAGACACTGTTGGCTTTTGATGTACAGAGAAATATTACTAGTAAAAGGGAGATCTGAACATGTAAGTCACTCTACCATAAGAAAACACATTTGAAAAATGGCCTTTTTCTTATAAGTGAAAGCCTAACTCTGGTTCCACTTAGTCTGGTAATATGTTTCTGTCATTCCATTGGACGAGCCCACATGTACTGGGCTCTTCATAGGTCCTGGGCTCCACCATCTGGCCCTTTATTTACTTAATTCTTTTTTAATACTGACAAGTGTATTAGTAACACTTCCATGATCACTGGTAAATATAGAGCAACTGCACAACCAAGATTTTCCCTAATTCTGAAAGTCACTAATTAGCTGTGGGTAGGGGTTGGGGAGTATTACAAAGATATGTTGAGCGGTACTACAATAAGTAGTCTAATTCCCAAGAAGAAAGCATGTTAATCTGCTTCCCACTTCATTAGAGAAATAAAAAAACATCTTGTCATCACTAAAGGATATAAAGAGAGATCTGAATATTGGAGGAAACAGTAGATAGGGAGGAAGAATAAATGCAGCATTCAGGCAAGAAACACAAATCCCCTACATATGGTAGACAATGTTCATGGCTTCTCTTGACATCTTTTGATTGCTCTATTCATCAGTATGTTTCATGAGCATACTTTACTCAATTAATAAACACAAGCTTCCAAAGAAAACAAATAAGATAAGTAAATCCTATTTAAATGAACTGATAGTTCTTCTGATACTTAAGATATACATTAGGCAACTTTGAAAGCTAGTAAGGTCTCATTCACTTGAGCTCCATAATAAAATACAGTAGGCTTAAAGGAGAGAACACAGTTTCCAAAGGTATTAAAAAGTCATTTAGAGAGAAGATATTATCTAATTTAAGTACTGAAACTGGGAATTATGGTATCGTAAGTCCATTAAAGAACTTTTTTTAATAATATTTGTGGGGGTTTTTTTAAGAGAGAGTCTAAAACTTTAATTTTCCATGAGATTTAGATTCCTCAAAGAACATCAACTGATAGTTATATGTGTTAATTCAAGCATCAAGTATAAATTATTATAACTCAACTTCCTGAAACTAACAATTCTGAGTAAAGTCAAGTCCATTGTCCTCATTTCTAAAATCAAAAAATGTAATATGAAGCAAAAACCTTTTCGAGATTATTTTTTGTTTCAGTCTATCTTCTTTATTTATAGACATTTTGGGAAAAGGATGACATTCAATTATAGTACTTATCCCAAATAACTAGAATCTCAGCTAAAAACTTATAAAGTTGTGGACTGTGAGATAAATATTAGTATTTCCTTAAATTTTTAACTAATAAATAAAAGTTAATTGGTTCACATGCAAAAATAAATTGATGAAAGGCCAAAAAATAGAATAAACAGGGAAAAGGGGATTAGGGGATGCACTTTGTTTAATATCTAATTTGAGACCTGTCAAAGAAGTGGGGCATATCTTATTACTGGTATATGAAAAATGAAAGGATGAATGTTTTTGCATACAAATAATGCAAGTATAGAAACATAATAGAAGCTTTGTGTTACAATGCAACTTAAACTCCTCTGGGCAGTGATCAGCTAAGAAGGAACAGAGACAGATACAATGCAATGATTAACTAGCTGATGAATCTATTATTCATGACAGGTATGTAAGCAGTCAGGGCAGCTATGCTGGTGGCTTCTCCTCATCAAGCAGCTTTGCCAGGACAGACTGGAGGCTTGGAACCAGGCATGACACAAAAACAATAAAGCCTATTGCCAGCTAAGGGAAGAGTCAGCACAATCCAACTCCAGTTTTTAATAGTACTAGAAATCTCTCTTGAATAATGTTTCCCCTTGTGATCAGCATATACTGTATTTACAGAATGTTGCCAGCACTTACCTCTATTTATCTTACTATGCATAGTAGCATACCTGAAACAACTACTTGGAAATTGTCAGTATATACAGGAAAAAAGTGACTTTATCATTAGTTGGCAAAAATGTCTGTTGATGGGTATAACCATCATGTCATTACATGAACAGATGGTCAAAGTGAGTTCATTTTACTGACAGTATATTATGTGGGTCTTTTTATCCCTGAACAACCAAACCAAACAAAAGTACAACACAGAAGAGGCCATCATACCTTCCTGCGTTTGGTTGGCAGCTTAATCTTTGATATATGAAAATAAAAAAACAACATGGACTGTAATCCTGCATACTACCATTTCCACATAACATTTAATAGAATATTTAAGTATTCATATTAAAAAGTCATCCTGGTATTTGTGAAGATAAAAAAAAAATACATGGGGTTTTTAAAAACCTTTCAACTACATGATCTCCAGTTAAAGGAGAAACATAAAAGTCATATTTCTTATACTTCAGTGTTCTGTTTTGTTTTTAATTTAAACAACAGTTTATAGGGGGAAGCAAGTTACAATTCTTTATTGTTATTCAGGTATTTTAATAAAATGTTAGAAAAAGAGATATTTTTAAAAAGCAATCCCCTTGTTAAAATCAATTTCTCTTTGAAAGGCTATGCTCTCTCTGTGTATATATTATTTTACTGAATAATTTTAAAATATAACACCATGAAATCTCTTGAAATACACACACACACACACACACACACACACACACACACACAGCTTCATCTCTAGAACTAACGCAAATAGAAAATATTACCTTGATTCTGTGAAATAAAAAAAATATTATGGGGCCCTAGCTGGTTTGGCTCAGTGGATAGAGCATTGGCCTGTGGACTGAAGGATCCTGGGTTTGGTTCCAGTCAAGGGCACATGCCCTGGTTGCAGGCTCAATCCCCACTAGGGGTGTGCAGGAGGCAGCCGATCAATGATTCTCTCTCATCGTTTATGTTTCTCTGTCTCTCTCCTTCTCCCTTCCTCTCTAAAATCAATAAAAATATTATTTAAAAAAAATATTATGGGGTCAAGGAGAGAGAATGTAAGAATACATTTCTATCTATAACAGTTAATAGTAAAAGCAACAGCTGAAAATTATATTGCTAAAATGCATCTACACATGTGGTTATGAAAACTTAGGCTCAAGAAAAATTCTAGTTACCCACTTTCAAAAAGAGCTGATGAAGTTTAAGATACATCTTTAGTACTTCTGTACCTTAAAATATTGCTGAGTATTAATTTTTCATCAAGTTGTCATTTTCTCTGACATTTGATTTTATTAATCAAGGCATTTATCATTAATTTGTTGAAAATATCGTAATTAAGCCAAATAAACTAAAACCCTTAAAAGGTTAAAATTAGAAAGCAGGTGAATTAGAACTTTGACATTACCCTGTTGACATACAAGAGCTGTTTGAAAGTATGGGAGTCAAGTTTTTGCAGTTAGTTTGATGCCTCAATCTTGGGGCTGGGTACTTTTTTTAAATGTTATAAAGATTTGATTTAAAGCTCCCTGACAGTTTTGACATTCAGGTGAAAGTACTGCTGCTGCATTTGGAACAATTTGCATATCCCACTGCTAAATAGAATGTTTGAGGTGTGCACTGGTGTAAAGAAATGAAAAACAAGCTATCACACATGTTTAAGTGTATGTATTCACAAAACTGATGGTTGGAGCATACCACCCCATCCCTCCAATGTAATCTGTGATTTACTCTTCTATAATAAATTACCCTACCATGTTATTCTCATTGGAAGATCTAACCATGTATGTAAGAAGCAAAGTAATTATAGCCCCCTCTTGTCTAAGAAACCTTTAATCCCTATGAGCTCTTTATACACAATGAAGGGACACAAGTCGATTGTAAACTTCTTGCCTGCAATTCTGGACTTGGTAGCCATGAAATCTCATCTGAACAGTTTTGCTGTTCTCAACAAATGCATTTTTATGTTTTTAGAGTTAGTTATAAAGCTCTTTCTGATGAGGAATAGGTACTGAGTTATTAGTTTTGAGTCAATATGCCTATTTAGAAAAGGGAAAGGTATAGAATTAGAAGAGTTCCAAACTGATTTCAATAAGGGGAGGGGCCATAATACATTCCCATATAGAAGGAAGAAAGGATACAACAACACCTAATTAGGCTGACATATTCTCAGATGACACAAGCTTTCTTCTTTTTGACTTATAATTTCAGATTATTCTTTAAGCAGACATAGAAAAGGATATATAATGCATTAAAGGGCAATAAAGGAAAGACTTGAGTTTATAAACCCAAACACTTAAATATTATAAAACTTTTCAAGAAGATAAAACCCATTCAAGGAAATCTCATTGACTATTACCTTTAGCCTTCAAGGTCTCAAAAGGCAAGTCTTACCACTTCTTTTGTGTGACTGTAAAAAGAAAAACTTAGAATTAGAAGTCTGCTAAGGAAACAATTTAGATTTTCATAATATCTTTATTACTAGTTATAAAAAGTAGATAGCTGAGTTTGTATATGTCAATTAATATTTATAGTTTTTATAAAATAGGCTAACATGTTCATTTGTGTATGTGCAGAACAAGTACAACAAGTACTCAGTAAAATGTGGCACAAATATATAATACAAACCACTATATATACAGGGTTTATATGGAGAATAGGTTACTTATTATAGTATTACTAAAAGATTTCTTACTCTACACAAATAAAGGCTTTTACATTTATATTTCTACTAGAGGCCGGTGCACAAAAATTCGTGCACTCGGGGGGTGGGGGGTGGGTCTCTAAGCCCAGCCTGCATGCTCTCACAATCTGGGACCCCTCGGGTACGGTCCAGTCCCATTGCAGCATGGCTCTGGTTCCCCGGGCCTGAGGGCCAGTGGGGAGGGACCAAGAGGCCAGTCTGATCGCAGCATGACTCCAGTTCCCAGGAGCCTGTGGGCGGGGGGAGGGGCCAAGAGGCCAGTCCTATGGCAACATGGCTCTGGTTCCCTGGAGCCTGCGGGCAGGGGGAGGGACCCAGAGGCCAGTCCCTTGGCAGCATAGCTCCTTTCCCACAGCTCCCTCCAGCGGCCGCGCCAAGGGCGGCTGGGGCCCACAGCTCCCTCCCGCCACCACGCTGCCAGTGGCCAGGACTCAGGACTGACTCCCGCCACCACTCAGCTGGGACCCAGGACTGACTTCTGCTGCACCAGCCAGGACCCTAGCCTGGTGTTCGGTTGTCCATCCAGACGTTTAGGTCATGACGGACCCTGGCTCTTTATATATTAGGATAATTTTAAAAAACGAATTCCAAATAGTCTTTATCCCATTTATTTTTTTATTCTTAATTATCAGAGAGTTTGCAAAGACTCTCTAATCTACTATACACAATATACTGGTAATCACTGGTGAGTTAGAAAATATACAAATAGGAAAGACCCAGGCCCTATCCTCAAAATAGTGAGTGAAGTCAGAGAGATGTGCATAAAAAAGACAATCCAGAAAGGATAAAAAGTAAGTGGGTGGAAAGAAATAGGAAGCAGAGGGTAACATGTTCAAAATAGCTGGAACTGGTCTACAGCAGCTAATGCATGGACGTGATAACGTGGTGTCATGTTTCCTGTCCTAGCAAGTAAGGGTAATCATAAGATCCTACCCAGATTTGGAGGGAGGGATGTCAAATAAATGGATTGTATAGAATCAAAGCTGGGACTGGGAGCAGTTAAGCAGGCAGGATGTTGAGGTGCCTTTGAAGCCAATTCAGTGAATTTGAACTTGAAAAAGTTAACTAGAAGCAATTCTCCTATTAAAAATTCAGTTTGATATTATATGTCTTTGGAATGTGATCCAAATTTGCTATGAAATCTCAGTTATGACCTTCAGGTCATATTTACTAATAATCTCCACAGAGACTCAGCCATTTAAAGTCTCAAAAGCAGTTTTGCTAATGGAAATGCGCATATATATATATATATATATATATATATATATATCCCAATCCTATAAAACAGTGCATCTATACTGAAAGACCTACTAAAATAAAAAAAAAAGTCAAGAATTTTAATTGCTGGGATCTTTAATATGCATAAACAATATTTTACAAAGGGAAAACAAATAATCAAACAACAAACCACACCAGTAAATCAAAAGAATCCTGAGTGTAGACTCTACTGATAGATATAAACAGGATCCAGAAAAGGAAGGTGATGGTCCTATTATATTCAGGCTATGTGAGTAATATCACACTTATTCTGCAACACCAAACTTTAGAAGAGGCACTGAAAATTAGAATTTCTTAGGAGGACTGAGATAAGAACATTATTCATGGATAAATAAGAGATAACTAGGAATGGAAAAGAGAAAAATGTTCAGATTGTAGGGATGAAGTAGGGAAGGACACTTGGGAGAAAACTAATTTGGCTACTACATGATATGTTATGAAATTAATTTTTATTTATTTATTGTCTGTTTCTCCCACTAGGATGAAAGTTTCATGAGGTCAGTACTGTCTTTTTCACTGTATTACCCCATTTTCATAAATGGTGTTTGCTACAGAGTAAGAGATCAATGAATATTTATTGAAAAGCATGAACAACCTGACCAACCTATGAAACAGGCACTAAGTCTACACCTATTTACAGATGAAGAAATTTATGCTTAAGGAAGTAAAATGTTATGAATTAAATTAAACTTTGCCCTTTGCAACCCCAAACTGCTACAACCCATTGTTTATAGTCTTCCATTCAATATTCATTCTAGTAGGGAAACAAACAAGTAAATATAATGTTAAAGCTTATAATCTATATATATAAAAGCCTAAGCGACCATTATGATGGAATGACCGAAACGACCAGAATGACCGGTCAACCAATAGCCATGATGCGCATTAACCAACGGGGGGGGGGGGGAGGGAGAGGGCGGGGGGGGGCGCTCAAGGCTGCCCCCTGGAGGTCAGTGCGCTCCCACAAAGGGAGCACCGCTCAGCCAAAAGCCAGTCTTAAAGCTGGTGAGCACAGCTGCAGCAGCGGGAGCCTCTCCTGACTCCGAGGCAGCACTACAGGTGGTGGAAGCAGGCACAGTGGGCCGAGATGAGTATGAGCAACACAGTGCCCAGCCCTGGTTCTGGCTCCTCCCTGGCTGCCTGCTGCTTAGAGCACTGCTACATCCCCCGAGGGGTCCCAGATTGCGAGAGGGTACAGGGCAGGCTGAGAGACACCTCCCTCCCCCAGTGCAGGAATTTTGTGTACCCAGCCTCTTGTGTTGTATAATTAGTACTATGAAGACAAACAAAACAAGGTGACAGCATTTTTAAATGGTTTTGAACAGAAAAACTTCTCAGAGGAGATGACAATAAGAAAAGGCCTCAGTAAAGTGAGGGATACAGTAAAAAAATATCTGGTAGACTATGTAAGCTCTTACAAGGATTAAACAAGACATATATTACCTTTCTCATAACATGGCTAGCACTCAGCAAACAGTATTCTCAATGACTATTGTTTTATGTTGCTATTATTTTATAAATGGTAAATTCCCCCACTAGATTATAAATTTGTCAGACATTCATTTTTATTTTCCTACAACTCCTTAAGTAGTGGTTAGCAAGAATTCAGTAAACATTTATAGAACTAAAAATAGAATTATACATTACCAGTTCATTAATTAGAAAAAGTAAACAGACTATACGAACATGAAAAAGTCACCATATTTAATATGCTTGAGTCAATTTAATTCTGTTAAATCAAAGTTGCTTAATAATTAATCATTTATGGATTAAAAAGAAAGAAAAAAATTATATATATATATATATATATATATATATATATATATCCAGTAAATCATAGATTAAAGAAAATAATAAGGAAGAATCAGAAAAAAATGAATTTCTCAATATTAGTCCACTTCTTGACCATTTACATACTCCATCTGACTCAATCAGACTAAGGAATCTACTACACAGGTATCTGATGTATTTATGTGTTCCTACTACAAGCACAGTGTCTGATACTATATAGCAAACATTCAATACATCTTTGTTGAACTGAATTCAACCAAAATGATCTTTAGTACTTCTGAGGCTTTAAAGTTATTTCACATTTTAAAAAATACAGCAAAATAGGAGATTACAATAAAAAAAATATCAAGTGTTAGGTTTTGTTAAATGTAGCAAAGGAATAGTGAACAAGGTTAGTTTTTAACAAAGATTGAATTATATATGACTGTAATATTGGCAGTAGAAGAGACAAATAATTAGAACAGCCCATAGGGACTTAGTATGAGGTAAATGCTACAGTTAGCATTTCCACAGTTTTGAAATAATAGACTAATTTATGTGGAGCGGGGAATTTTGTCTCCTAGCTCTTATCAGACATCAAAATATAAATGGGATTAGTATAGCTAAAGCTGAAGAGCTTTAAGAAAAAATATGTATATAATTTTCTGTACTCCAAGGAGAGAAGACCTTTTGAGGCACATGGCAGTAGTATATACCTAAGCACAAAGATTTATGAATGTAACTACTGAAAATAAAAATGTTTTACAAGTCCAAAAATAGCTTCAAAAAATTAAGAAGCCAACAACAAATAAAAATATTTTAATGTATATGATATTCATAGGTTTAATAACCTTTACCTATAAATAAATGAAAAGAATCTTTTTTTCAAATAAACATGTACTTCATAATAGAAGAATCAAAAGCTAAGACATATATAAAGTAATATTAATTTGTAATACCAATGAAAGAAATGAAAATTAAAATAACTTAAAAATTCCATAGTAGTGAGCTGGTTAAATAAATTATATGTGATATAATGATAAACTTTCATTAAATGTGGCAAGTGAAAATTTACAATATGCCATTAAGCTTAAGAAGCAGGTTATAAAATGATAATAAGATACCAATTTTAATATTTAATATATGGAGAGAGACAGAGAGAGACTATGATAATATTTGGTCATATGTATATATAAATGCAGATCTGGATGTATGTGTGTGTACGTATGTATTAGAAAAAAACATGTATGTATTTGCAAAAGCATGTAAGGACTTATAGACTAAACTAGAGGCCCGATGCACGAAGATTCACCCAAGAATAGGCCTTCCTTTCCCTGGCTGCTGGCACCACCTTCGCTCTGGCCGGAGCTGCCTTTCTGCCTTCGCTCCGGCCCAGAGCCGCCTTTCCGCCTTCCCACGCTGCCCAGAGGCCCGGAGCAGCTGGGGTGGTGCAAAACTCCTGCATCGTCGCCATCACAATGAAGCAAGCGTCCCGCCCTGCCCCCGGTCGCTTGGTGCCTGCAAATGCAAATTAACCTGCCATCTTTGTTTGGTTAATTTGCATGCTCACTCCTGATTGGTTGGTGGGCATCACCAAGGTACAGTCAATTTGCATCTTTCTCTTTTATTAGTGTAGACTAGAGGCCCGGCGCACAAAA